TTCTCCCGGGAGGCTGAGAGGATGGCCGGGGTGATTGCCTGTTGGCTGGCAGCCAGGGCGGACCATAGGCATTGGACCTCCCCCTTGTCCTGTTCTTACTACGGCAGGCAAGCCCCCTGCCTCCCACCGAGGCAGATGATGGGCCGTGAGTTTTGCTCAGGATTCCTGGGTGAAGGCTGCCTAGCAGAAAGGCCACTCAACAGATATTTAATCAGAGCGGAGGCCTGCAGGTGGTGGGGGACAAGGGGAGTGTGTCTGAGAAAGATACCCCAAGACAGATGGTGAGGCATCTGGGGAACAATCTTGCCCTGCCCTGGTGCACCCTTCACCCTCTCCTGACTGTCATTAGATGCCTGGGGACGTGTTAAGACAGACAAATAATAACAGTTACCCAGCATCAGGCCCTGCTCTTGATCCTTTACATACATTCACTTTTTTAATCATTACGGTAATCCTATGAGATAGATATTATTGTCATCCCATTTCACGGATGACAGAAGTTGAGACACCAGAAAGGTCAGATGGCCAACCCCAGGTCCCCTAACTAGAAAGATGTAGGGCAGAGAATGCTTCTACCCAAGCCGTCAGGAGTCCCATGTGCTTTGCCATTTTGCAACCCTGCCTGTCAAATACATGGACAGTTCCCACGAAGGAGAAAAAGCCCATATCCAGAGTCCTTTCCCCCATAGCTGGGTGCACAGGCTCCAGGGGGAAGCGGAGGGAGAGGCAGATGATGGAACCTGAAGTGCAGGGCCCCTTGACACGGTCTACCCATGCTACGAGCTCTCTGGGTAGAGAGCCTCTGGGCCCCTAGCCTGGACTTGGCTCTCTTCTGCCCACGGGGGCCTCTTTGCTGAGCTGTCTACTTGCCTGGCCCACAGCTTCCTGGATCTGCACGGGGCGCCTCTCAGGTAGGCGTGTCTGCACTCCCTCCTCCTGCCCCAGGAGCCCCACGGCAGCCTAGGCCACCGGCTAGATCCCTCCATCTCTCCCCCACATCCAATCAGCCACCAGCTCCGGTTGAGCCAACGGAGGAATAATCTGTTAAATAATCTGTTACACTCAGCCCTCGGTGGGCGGTGGGCGGGCGCAGTGGTGGCCTCTTCCAGCACTTGCTGTTGTGGGGGGGGGGTGCTATGTCACTCTGTAGACTGCAAGTCTTCATCCCAGAATGCTCTATTCTTGCAAGTGAGGACATTGAGGCACAGAGAGGTGAAGTTAGCTGTCCACAGCCGCGCAAGGGCGTTTGGTAGAGCCAGCCTTGGGCAGCCAGGCTGCGGGGCTCACATCACCCCTCTTGCTACTGCCTCCCTGCTGCTGCTCTAGGCCTCGCCCTCCTCAGCCTATCCTGCTATAGGAATGCTGCCAGGAACCAGGGATGTTGCTCAAAACTAGGAACACCCCCCAAAAAAAATTTTTTTAAAAATGAAATAAAATAAAAAACTAGGAACCCAGAACTGAGCAGACCCCCGGCTGCAGGGCTACAGGGCCAAGCGGATTTTTCTTTATCTGCTTAACACACCCATCTGGTCAGGCCTCCCTGCCCAGCACAGCGTCTGATGTAAAGATTAACGGTGCAAACAAAATGAACGAACTGTGGGAGACCAGCTGGTGACCAACAGAGGGCCTATACCCTGGGGACCAGGGGAGGGAGAGGGGCTGCTTTTCCAGCTCCCGGTAGCCCAGCTTCCAAGGCATTTGGTTCCATCTCCCTCCCCCCTCGCTGCTTCCCTACCACCTCCTCTGTTCCCTGTCCTGTGGCTGGTTGGTGGGACAGTGGGAGGTTAGAGGAAGCTTTAACTAATGGGTCTCCAGTGGGACTGCAGAAGAGGACCAACTTGGAAACCAGAGGATGGAAGGGCTCTGCCTGGGAACCCCGGCCTGCTGTAGCCTCCCTCAGCATCTCTGGGATTCCACGTTGGCCAGGGCTGGCCCACAAGGGAGGGGGACGAGAGCCCAGTGCCCTCATTGGGGCTCTACCTCCTGGCTCTGGAAGGTTTAAAGTCTTCCAGTGCTTGCCCAGATACCTTCCTCTGAGGGTGGTTCCAGTTCAGTTCCTCCACCCCCTCCTCCCTTGCCCATTCCTGGGGTGGGGGGCAGAGGCAGGGAGCTGGAACGCTAACGGGGCACAGAGCCAAACCTTCCCAGGACCAGCAGGTCAGAGCCAGCTGCTCATGGGCCACTTTGACAGTGGCGAGGCCACCAAAGGAGAAGAGCAATGGGATCCTGCTTCCTCCAGGTGGGGGAGGTCGGTAAGCTGGGAGGGAAGGCTGGCAGGGGCTGGGGACCAGTGGGGATCTGATGACTGAGGCAAGGGCAGGGACCCCACGCGTTCCTGGAGGTGCATTCTCCTGGCTGGTGCTCAAGCTAGTCATGTGTGACAGGGGCAAGGAAACAATCACTGAGCAGGCCCGCAGTGGTGGTGACGGTGGTGACGGTGGCGGCCCGAGGGTAAGGAGAGGCTGGGAGAGCAGGAGGGAAGGCAGGGGCAGGTCTGGAGCTGTGTGGGAGGGAACAGGCCTGCCTAGCAGGCAAATGTGCTGTTCTATGAATGTGCATAAAGTAGGAGCTGCTTTCTCCTCCCAAGGTTCAGCTTCTGGAGGGCTCCGTGTGTGTGTGTGTGTGTGTGTGTGTGTGTGTGTGTGTGTGTGTGTTCCAAATACCCAGGAGACTCTGCATCTGACCTTGAGTGATCAGTGTTCAGAAGTGGCAGCTCCAGCCTAGTTGTAGCCACTGTGGCTCGGGCTCAAGTGCCTCTCCTTCTCCCTCACTCTGTCAGAACCTCCAGCCTACACTTGCCTCTGCCCCAGCCCACCCCACTCCTAGCCCTTCCTTGAGGCTGACCACCCACACCACCTCCTCCCCCTTGCCTCTTCCCAACATTCCCGGCCTTTCCAGAAGCCTAGTCTCTCAAATGCTCCAATCTTCCAACCTGTCCTGGGCCTGTGGCCTTTGTTCAGGACTCAGACTCTGCACGCACTTGACCCTCCCGATTTAGACACCTGGCTGGAGCAGCTGCAGGAGCCCGAGGGAGGGCTCCTAGGAGGGCTCCAGCCCCTGCTCGTGAGATGCCCACTGCTCTCTGCATCTGGAACACTGGCTGAGGAGGGCCAAAGATGTGGGTGATCAGGCAAGCAGGCCAGGGTGGGAAACCCCTTCCTAGCCTCAGAGCCGACCTCAATCCTGCCCACAAATCCCAGTCAGGAAGTGCTAGGGCCAGAGGAGAAGCTGAAGAGTCTGAAGACTTGCCAGCACCAGAACCGCTGCCCCTTGTCCTCTCTCCTGAGACCACACGGTAACAGCCAGAGGGGGGTACAGAGATGGGGTCCAGCGAGGGAAACAGAAAAGAGAGGGGTCTATACTTCTGACGGAGAGAGAGAGCCATGGGTGGCTCCCTCCACCCCTGGTGTCAGTCTACACCACCAGGATAGAGAGGCAGCACCAGCCGCTCAGACCTCCCGCGCCAGGCCCCGGGCCTCAGGAAGTCCTTCCTGCCCTTGGCCTTGGCGCCTCCTCCCCTAGAGACCTCACGTCCAGAGAAATGGAGGGTCGGTGTACTGCACCTAAACACGATGTGGGGGGCAGGTATAGGGAACCCCCTTGGCGTTTTTGTTCTCATTTCACAGAGGCCTCTAGAGGCCTGAATTCTGATTTAATCTCCCCTGATGCCTTTGGTTTTCCCTAGGCCCCAGGCTCCTCCTCGGGCCTCAGCTGGAAGCAGGTGCTTGCCGGGGTGCCCCACAACCTGCAGGGCCGCACACCCAGCACTCACCACAGCTGACATCAAGCCACTTCCTAGTCATTACCAGTGATGCCTCCTCGGAGAGAATGTGAGCTCCTGAAGGGCAGGCCCTGGCCCTGCTTTGTTCACGGCTGCACGCCCTGCACAGTCCGGGCCTTGTGCGCAAAAGGTCCTCAAGAGAGGTTTCTTGAGGTCAAAGAACTGCCCCCTCTCCTGTACGAGCCCTTTTCCACCTCCCTCATGCCTCCCCCAGATCTGTCTTTCTTCCTGGTACCTGTCCACCCAGGTCTTGACTTGACTCCACTCCTCACCCTGCAGTGGGCCATCGCTAGCCCGCCCCTCCCTTACTCCAGGAAGCACCCTCAGATTCTTGGGTCCCATACTCTGGGTCGGGCACAGGTGACAGCCTTGTTTCTTATCCCTTTACTTCATCCAGTGTCCTTGCAGCTGGACCAGGGCAGGACCCCCATGTATCGATTAAGCCTCTGTGATGACTTCCTCAGTTAATCAATCCGGTCACCAAACTCGAATCAAAAAGACAGGCTGTCCACCGCCCCGAGCCAGGCTTTGTCCTGCAGGAAACGTCAGCACCCTCCCCTCCTTGCCCTCAGCCCCAGGGCTCTCTCACTCCCCACAGCTCAGAGACTAAGTCCACCTTGGAGGTGAGGTACAGGCTCTTTCTCCCCAGCTCCACCCCCACCCCCCCAGCCAACAGCAACCCCATGGGGAAAGGGAAAGAGAGTTGGAGTAGATACCTGTGCTTGAAGGTTCAGGTCAGAAGATGGAGGTCACCAGGACACCCGCCGGGCCCCACGCTGCCCTACTGCACAGGGCTGAGGCTGTGATCACACACACACTCCCCCCCCCCCGCCTCTGATACTCACTTAGCACTTGAGTTCAAAGACCTGCTGCCTGTGCTCAGCATCTTCTCACACGGCACCCTGCCCACTATGTGGACTCCTAGGCTGTCAGTGGGCAGGCAGAGGAAGTGGGGTCTCACCGAAAAGGCAGACTCAGAGCAGTTTCACTCTCACCCTAAGAGGCAGAGACAACCCCTTCTAGGGGCAAAAGGCAGCCACAGCCCTGGGGAGGAGTAAGGGGGGGTGGGGGACAGGTGAGGCAGGGTGGTGAAGGGGTGCAAAGTGACCTCCTCTGGGGGGTCCTCGACTCAGCATGTTTTCCTACACCCTGGACAACTGAGATGCTCATGATGGGGCCAGATCGTCCCTTTGGTGGCTCCTCCTCTTAGAACAGGCCTTTCTGCTCTGGTCTGTCTGGCCTCGGAAGGAAGACAAAGCTGCAGGACGCAGGGCTGGAGTGAGGGGATGATCCGGTTCTGGATCCTCAGCCATGAACTCCACGGGAGCTGGGGGTGAGCAAAGGGCCCGTGTGATGTCTGGGGAGAATCTTGTGGAACTAGCCACCGAAATTCAAGCCCGGGAGATTTTTTGGCCCAACCTTGTAAAGCTGGGTCTCAAGGCAGAGGTTGGAGGGTGGAGAAAGCTGGAGAAGGCTGGAAAAGGCTACCCCCTAGAGGTAGGACCAAAGAATTCTTTATGGACAGCAGGCCACGGTTATATTTATTGTACAAATCTGTAGGAAGTTCCTCCCCCTGCACCTGGCCGTTGACTGGGTACTGGGAACATGGAAGCAGTCAAGGCAGGCAATAACGTGACTGTCACTGCTCGCCCTAGACTCAGGGATTTCCTGGAATGTGGAACTTCTAGTGGTAAAACCAGGACTGTCCTGGGCAAAGCCAGAGGAGTGATCCCTAACAAATAAAGCCCCTGCCCTCATGAAGGTTATATTCCCAAGGGTTAGGCAGAGTGGGGGTTAAAGGATAAATGAACACAATTTCACCCAGTGATGGGTGTTGAGAGACACCAAACTGTGTGGCAGGTTGTGCTTGAGACAAGAAGGACAGCACTGCGTCTCTGAGGAAGTACAGTCTGAGCTGCTGAATGATGACGAGGAGTTAATCTTATGGGCACTCAGAGAAGAGATAGATTTCCAGGCAAAAAGGCCCCCAAAGGGACGCCTGGGTGGCTCAGCGGTTTACAGCGCCTGCCTTCGGCCCAGGGCGTTGTGATCCTGGAGTCCCAGGATCGAGTCCCGTGTCGGGCTCCCTGCAAGGAGCCTGCTTCTCCCTCTGCCTGTGTCTCTGCCTCTGTGTGTGTGTGTCTCTCATGAATAAATAAATAAATCTTTAAAAGAAAAAAAAAAGCCCCCAAACCCTGGGGCAGGAACAAGCCTGACACATTCGAGAAACAGAGAGAAGGCCCATGTGCCAGAATCAGAATGAACGGTCAGACTAGTTGGAGCTGGCGAGGCCCCAATCAGTTCACCCCACGAGAGATGGGAAGCTCACAGAGGGAGTAAGCAGGGGAGCCCCTTGTTCTGCTTGTTATTTTTCAAAGATTGTGCCAGCCGCCCGGGGTGGGGGGGGGGGAGCCGAGGAAGACCAGTTAGGAGACCCTCAAGTGGGCAGGTGGTGATGACGGTGGCTGGACTAGGGTGGTGACAGGGAGAAGGAGAAGGACAGGGCAGCCCCAATGGACTTGCTAAGGAGTTGGAAGTGGGGAGGAAGGAAAGGGAGGACTCAGAAATGACGCTGGGGTTTGGGCCTGGAGCCATATGCCACACAGCCCTAAGCAAGGTCATGCCCCAGAGGGCAGGCGAGGTCACTCTGGGTGGGAGTAGGGAGCAGAGAGGAGGAAGCCCTGACAAGTCCAGTAAACTCAATCCACTGGAATACAGCTTTGTCGGAGGAGATACGTGTCTGGAATGCGCCTGCTCTGGGGGAGCGAGGAAGGAATGTCTTAGGAGGCAAGACGCTGCAGGTGAGAGGGAGAGTCTGTCTTCATGCTGGTGGGGCCCGATTTAAAAGTGATTCCTGGGGCACCTGGGGGGCTCAGCGGTTGAACATCTGCCTTCAGCTTGGGTCGAGACCCCCAGGTCCCAGGATCGAGTCCCATATGGGGACTGCTTCTCCCTCTGCCTGTGTCTCTGCCTCTCTCTGTGTGTCTCTCATGAATAAATAAAGAAAATCTTTTTAAAAAATATAAATAAAGTGACTCCTGAGGGATTGATAGTTCAGGCGGGTCAGCCACATGGGATATGTTCACGTGACCTGAATTGGGATGAGGGATGGTGTCTTAGGGTAATCAGATTAGCTGTAACATACAACCTGCAAATCTCAGGGGTTTTTAGCACAACAAAGTGCATTTTTCACTCCAGGAGGACAGAGTGGTTTTGTTTCACTCATTCATTCATTCATTCATTCATTCAGGGGTCCCAGGCTCCTTCCATCATGTAGTGCTGCCATCTTCAACATGTGACCTCATGGGACGGCTGGATGGCTCAGCGGTTGAGCGTCTACCTTCGGCTCAGGGTGTGATCCCGGGGTCCCACCTCGGGCTCCCCGCAGGAAGCCTGTTTCTCCCTCTGCCTGTGTCTCTTCCTCTCTCTCTGTCTCTCATGAATAAATAAATAAAATCTTTAACGACAACAACAAAAAAACCCCAAAAAACAAAAACATGTGGCCTCCTAAATCATGACAGGATGGAAATAGGGAACTGAGGGCGCGTGGAAGATTTTTATGGGTCCAGCCTGGAAACACATTGCTTCTGCGTTGATTCCATTCCATTGTCCAGAGCTCAATCCCATGGCATCAGTTTGACTGCAAGGACACTGGGTCGTGTTCCAAGTGCAAATTTAGTGGGTAATGTGCCAGAAGAAGAGTCCCTAATGGTGAGCATTAGTGAGCAGGGGCAGTGCCTCTCTGTCTCGTGGGGGGAGTGGGCAGTGGTGTCTGTGTTGGCTTGGGATGGGAGCATGCTCTCTGAAAGAACCTTGGAAAGACAGCTGATGTGGGAGGACGTGTATATGCGGGCACACTCACATGTTGTGCAGAACACAAAGAATCCTCCCATTCTTTCCCATTGTCATGATCTTTCTCCAGACAGGATCTTAGTTATCCCACACCTTACCACTGAAACAGTCTCGTGGGTGCTCTCTCTTCTATAATTTTCCTAAAAAAAAAAATTATTTATTTATTCATGAGAGACACAGAGAGAGAGGCAGAGAGAGAAGCTGGCTCCCTGCAGGGAGCCCCATGCAGGCCTCCATTCCCGGGACCCCGGGATCATGCCCTGAGCCCAAGGGAGGTGCTCAACCGCTGAGCCCTCCAGGCGTCCGTCTTCTACAATTTTCTTGTCCCGTCAAATCTAACCTGGATATCACAGTCTCAACAGTCTTCCTAAGACCTGGCTTATGTCATGCTACTCCTGTTCAATGAGGACAAGGACAACAGTCTTAAGAACAGTGAAAAATACCTTGTGGGGTTACTGTGTTGAGTGCTCTAACTACAGTATGTCAATCTATCCAGATGGTTACAACAAGCCTACAAGCTATTACCATCCTTCCCATTATCCAGACAGAGCAACAGGGGCCGGGAAGCTTCCTGGGCCATTGCAGGAGCCACTAGCCACAGGGGGGCCATTTCAATTAAAATGAAAAACAATTAAACATTCAGCTCCTCCGTCACACTAGCCTCATACCAAGCACTCAGGAGCCACATGTGTGTAGTAGCTACCATTTTGGAGAGCACAGACCTGGAGTATTTTCTTGGCAGAAAGTCAGAAAATTTCTGATGAGTTACGAGAACCCGCTGGGGGTCACACGATAAGTGGTGACCCCATCGGAGTATAAAGGCTTTCAACAGCTCCATATTGCCTCTACAACCAAGAAGAAAGTTCAGCCTGCCCTTAACGTTTTCCTACGACCCAGGCCAGCTACAGTTAGTCTCATTAATTTCTTGCACCATCTCCTACCGCACAGGGACGCATTTGCTCAGTACTCCCCCTATGTGCACTCACAATATTTTCCCTCTCCTCGTTTCTGTCTGCCCAGTTAAGTAATTCCGATATAACCTTTAAGGTTCAAATAACTGCAATATTTGTCGGTTCAGTTCCTTTTTTTCTATCCTCTCTCTCTCTTTTTTAAGATTTTATTCATTTATTCATGAGAGATGCACAAAGAGAGAGAGACAGAGACAGAGAAAGGCAGAGTCACAGGTAGAGGGAGAAGCAGGCTCCATGCAGGGAGCCTGACGTGGGACTCGATCCCGGGACCCCAGGATCACACCCTGGGCCCAAGACAGGTGCCAAACCACTGGGCCACCCAGGGATCCCCCTTTTTTTCCATTCTCACTCTCTCAGCCTCAACCACCTTTCAGCCCCCCTGCGTCTCTGTACTGCTGCAGCTAATCATACCAGCTGAGTACCTACTATGTGCCAGGCACTCTTTTAAGCACCGAGTCCTTGTCGCAACACGTGAAGTAGCTATCCTTGCTGTACCCATTTTGCAGATGAGATCACTAAGGACCAGCGAGTGCATGGACTCGTCCGAATGAGCTCTCTGCTTCTAGTCTTTTCTCAGGCAGCGCATCCTCAGGCTATTACCCTGGCCACATTTCTAGAATGCAGAGCCCTTACTCCCCTCCCTTTAGCAGAGCACAAAGGCCCTTTATGTTCAGAACATTTTTAACTTTGGAACCTACCACTCCACCCACAGACCACAAACTATTTACAGTTTCCCCTAATCTGCCATGTTATTTCTTCCCTCTGGGCCGCACACATGCTGTTCCCACCACCTGGAGTGTTAGCCCAGCCAGCAGCACTGAAGCCATCCCCGTGGCACTGGGCTCTGGACCATGGGACTCACTCCCTTTTCTGATTGCATCACTGGCTTCTAAAGAAGGCCTGAGTGCTGAGCTCATCACATGAAAATTACTTCTCATTAAAAAATACACTTCCAAAATTCAAATTTAATAAGCCATGGGTGGAGTCTGGGGTCTTTCTTATTTTTTTTTCTTTTCTCTTTTTTTTTTAAGAAGCTCCCTGACTATTCTAAAGTGAGGCAAGTGTGGATTACACCGGTTTACAACACTCCTTGGGCAACCCATCATGCCCTGCTCGGACTTCTAATGACGATCACCTTTGTCATTATTTAATGCTTACCTCTCATTCACCGCCTTCATCTATTCAACAATGTTCATTAAGGGGCTACAAGGTACGAGGCACACTTCTAAGGGGTTCATGTGAACCAAAGTGGTACAGTCCTTTCAGAGTTTACATTCTGTAATAGTGCTTCCCTAAAATGTCCATGTCCTAGTCTCCAAAATTTGTGAATATGTTACTTTACATGGCAAAAGAGGTTTTGCTGATGTGATTAAGTTAAAGATCTTGAGGTGGAAAAATTAGCTTGGATTTTCCAGGGTTTTTTTTTTTAAGATTTTATTTATTTCTTGGGGATCCCTGGGTGGCTCAGCAGTTTAGCACCTGCCTTTGGCCCAGGGCGTGATCCTGGAGTCCTGGGATCAAGTCCCACATCAGGCTCCCTGCATGGAGCCTGCTTCTCCCCCTGCCTGTGTCTCTGCCTCTCTCTCTCTCTCTCTCTGTCTCTCATAAATAAATAAATAAAATCTTTAAAAAAAGATTTTATTTATTTGAGAGACAGAGAATGCTTGAAAGGGAGAGGCAGGGAGAGAGTATCTCAAGCATGGCGCCCCATTCAGGGACTTAATCTCAAGACCCTGAGATCATAACCTGAGCCAAAACCAAGAGTGGGACACCTAACCAACTGAGCCACCCAGGTGTCCCAAATGATCCAAATCCTCAGTCGCGAGGGTCCTTACGAGGGAAGAGGGATGCAATGGAATCATCAGTAGAAAAGATGTGACAACAGTAGCAGAGGTCAGAGTAATGTGATTGTTAGCTTTGAAGATGAAGGAAGAGGGCCATGAGTCAAGGAATGTGGGTGGTTATAGAAGCTGGAAAAAGGCAAGGAAATAGACTCTCCCCTCCAGCCCCCCAGAAGCAAGGCAGCCTTGCCATCTCCTTGATATGAGCCCAGTGAGACCCACTGTTGCTGCGGACCTTGATCCGCAGAACTGCGGGATAATAAATAGGTGTTGCTTTGAGCCATTAGATTTGTGGTGATTGGGATCCCTGGGTGGCGCAGTGGTTTGGCGCCTGCCTTTGGCCCAGGGCGCGATCCTGGAGTCCCGGGATCGAATCCCATGTCGGGCTCCCGGTGCATGGAGCCTGCTTCTCCCTCTGCCTGTGTCTCTGCCTCTCTCTCTCTCACTGTGTGCCTATCATAAATAAATAAAAATTAAAAAAAAAAAAGATTCGTGGTGATTGTTACAGCAGCAAAAGGAAACTGATACAGAGACTGGCTACCTATTTTGTGCAGGTATGTGATGGACCCCCCCCCCCCAACTAGATTACAGGTGCTTGAGGGCTCTGTGTTCTGTTTGATTTTCCCTCCCAGCTCTGGGTATGAAGCTGGGCTCACAGAGGAAGCTCAATATACTCCTGCTATAGATTCTGAGAGTGGCGCAGGTGGTTGGTAGGGATTTGGGGTGGGGGATGAAGGTTATGGGCCTGGAAGGAAGGGGAAGCTGTCCGCGTGGAAGAGGTGTTTGAGGTTCCGCGGGGACGGTCTCAGCGCAGGGGTCCTCAAACATCGGTCGGTGGGAAGGATCCTCGGAGCTGCGCGTGTCAAGTCTGGGGGAGGGAATCTGGTGGGTGGGCGCAGGGGGGCAGGAGCCCTATTCGCTGTGTACTTGCGTGCTTCCTAATTCTTATATCGAGAAATTTAAGTTCTATTATTATTATTTTTTAAGACTTTATTTATGTATTCATGGGAGACCCAGAGAGAGAGGCAGAGACACAGGCGGAGGGAGGAGCAGGCTCCCTGCAGCGAGCTCGAGGCGGGGACTCGATCCCGGGTCTCCAGGGTCACGCCCTGAGCCGGAGGCAGGCGCTCAACCGCCGAGCCACCCCGGTGCCCCCGAGAAATTCACATTTTAAACGAGAATCGTATTCAAAGAGAAACATTTTCAAGTCACCGGGGCCGCAAGTGGCTCGTGTATATATATCGGCTTACGGGCCCCGCCCAGCCCCGAAGATGGTGACCCGGTAAGTCTGAGGATGCGCCCCCGAACCTGCTTTTTTTTTTTTTTTTTTTTTTACGAGGGACCCCCCCCGCCCCCCCCCACCCCCACGGACGGCGCGGCGGCCCCGGGACGTCACCCGGCGCTCGGGGGGGCGGCGGGCGGCGGGCGGCGGGCGGGCGGGCGGCCTCCGGCCGGGGAGGGCGCTGTGCCGGCGGCGCGGGGGGCGGGCGGGGGCGGGCGCGGGGCGGAGCGCGGGCCGGCGGCGGCTCCCGGCTCCCGGCTCCCGGCTCCCGGCTCCCGGCTCCCGGCTCCCGGCTCCCGGCTCCCGCTCCCGCTCCGGCTCCCGCTCCCGCTCCCGCCCGCCCTGCACCTGCGACCGCCCGGCGCCCGCGGCCCCATGGCCCCGTCCCGCCTGCAGCTCGGCCTCCGCGCCGCCTACTCCGGCCTCAGCTCCGCGGCCGGCTTCTCCATCTTCCTCGTCTGGACCCTGCTGTACAGGCAGCCGGGCACCGCGGCCATGGGGGGGCTCGCAGGTACCGCGGGGCGCGCGC